CCACCTCTATGTACTGATGTTTCCATGAGAATTCTACTGTGCCTTTTTTTCATAACTGCATTTTTTTTTTCAAATAAAGTCAATTTTAATTTCTGGTGCAAAACTGAGTCACTACCTTTTTTTGTGCAGCAAGTGCGACACAAACTTTACTATAAAGTACTTACAACAAAAAAAACTTTGTATTCTTATAAACTTTGTAGCTTTTTCGCCTCGTCTCCGAAGCCAAAATACGGGAGGAAAGAATTGAAAGAGCCAAAACGCGTATATACAACAGTCGGATAACGTTATACAATGCTACATTGGACAAGGATCTCTCTCTTCACAGGTGAGGAGCATAAAAAAAATGAAAAACCGAGATAAATATAGGAAATGACAAAAAAGGAACTTGGCAAGCTGCTGAGGATCCCATTTCCTCCGATGCCCTCGAGGATATCCCTGACGACGACGACGGCGACGGCGACGACGGAACTTTTTCCCCCCGTCGTTGCCGTCGCAAAGACGTGACCATAACGGACGGAAAACTCTGGGAACATGACACGAATTTTCCACAGGAGGAAATCAACACAATGTCTTCTTTTGTACAGGCGGGCGGCATCCATTTAGGTTGATTGTGAAAATCGCGATTTTCTTCGGTGGAGTAATAGCGGAAGAGAGGGATTTTATTGTGTGTCTACATTTGATCATTGAAGATTCTTTGTTTTCACAAATGAAAAACGTTTTTTGTAAAGAATTGTCTTGTCAGCAGAAGGACTGAATATACACCATACACTTGAATATTGTTACAGAACAACTACCGTATTTACTCAAGTACCACGCGCCCTTGAGTAAAGCGCGCACAGAGGGTTTTCAGTTGGAAATTTGGCTAAAATCTTATCCCTGAGTGAGACGCGCACCCCAACTTTTAGTGAATCTAAAACCACAAAATTTCGAAAATAAAAAAAAAATTGACTTTGGACATGAATTGAAAAAAAAACTGATCAATTTTCCACTTTTTCAGTACAAAAAAGTTGTTGTGTTAAATTTTTTTTCAAATTTCTCCGTTATAATGAAGTATAATGCACACATAACTTCCTAAAACTTCTTGAAAAATTTGTAACCACTTATGACGCTCACCCCTTTTTTCTTCTGAAATTTGAGAAAAAAGGTGCTAGTGGTACTTGAGCAAATACAGTATATCAAGCATTTGGAACTACACTTGAACCTCTCTAAGTAAAATTTGAAGGGACCAGCAGAAAAATTTGACATAGGGAGGTTTTGACTTAAGAGAGGTTTTAAGTTTTATAGAATTACATATGTTTCACTTTAAGAATCAAGCATTTTTTATTGTTGGAAACATTGAAGAATTGCATGGGATTGTTCATTGTGATATTCTGGGTCTCAAATTGCTTCTAAAATGAGGTGACAGGGCACTCAACTTGGAGACAGGGGTTCATTTGCCTAATCTAGTCTGTCACATTCTGTAAAGGCACATCAAATTCCATTTTTTATTGTTTTTTCTTTTCTGTTCCAATAACTTTGTGGATTAGATCTACGCAAAAGGCAGAATTCAAAAATGAAATACAGAATCAGCTGTGGGGTGCAGCTGGGGATTTCCTTATAAAATCCCAAAAGAAAGATAAAAGTATGCTTCAAATTAACCCCAAGATTGATTCACACAAAAAATGGACTTTTCATACAAAAATCAGCACACACAACTTGATTTGATAAAATCTTGCGCCATACTATCTGTATAATTTGATAATATGGCGTCAGCCAGTCTGATCTGATCCCTCTCTCTTACAGGACTCTCCACTTGATCTTGATTGGCTGAGGAAGTAAATTTGAGTACTTAATTAACCTGGACTGCCACGGAGGTGGAACATTCTCAAACATTATTGGAATTAATGGAATTCCTTTTGATGGACAATGCTGTCATACGTGTGCACAGGAAACAGTACTTTAGTGTACCAAATTAGTCCACCACAAACATAATAACCTGAAGGCCTAACAAATTTGACGTATGGAGGTTTAAGAGGAAAATCCTTTGGGTTAGGGAGGTTTTTAATGCATTATTTCTAATGGAATTCAGGTAGGGACTCCAAAAATTTGACTTAGGGAGGTTTGACTTAGCAAGGTTCAACTGTATTTGAAAATGGTTTCTTACTATATGAACAAAAATTTTTGAAATCAAATTAAAAACGTTTTGACTATATATGTGCTGGGAGGGAACAGAAATTCAAATCTTTAAGGAAAATCATTTTTATACCATGAGATGAGGGGATCAGTATAAACATGTACATTACTATACGTATTGCTCCACATAACAATTAAATTAAGAAGCAATTAAGCCTCATCTATAAGAGACCAAAGTCAAGTGTCTTGACATACTTATTATGACACATGGGGACAAGAATAAACCTCATCATAAAGCATCAAATGGGTAACTTTTATAAGGTTATATGAGTTTTTGTGGTTTACCCCAGTACTTAATTATTCTCTAATTTATTTGAAGCCCGGAATTTATTTATTCATACATTCAAGAATTTAAAACAAATTAACGATGTGAGAGTATATATATATATATATATATATATATATATATATTCACTCGATTTGAGAAATCTGAATTTCACACGATCTTTCGTTAAAAGCATAATGCAGAAGAATTGAATCTGCCGAAATTAAAATTAGGATGACCCCCTTTATTTATTTATTTATTTTTTTTCAATTAGCCCAACTTTCGTATATAGTGAACAATGAACTTACATCAATCGACAGAAGCCCGAATTTTCAGTCATGCTGCTATACTAAAATTGTAACAAAAATATTTCAACGCTTTTTTCCAATTTTTAATGCATTCAGCAACCAGAGTTCAAGGCATTCGCCAAGGTGAAAAAGAATCCAGGAACTTTGTATATTAACGTGGAAAACTTTCCACCGTAATGCGGTTTCCGTGGAAATGCGATGCCAACCGTCGAACATTTTTTCCCAGTGTAAATTTCAATTTTCGATGGCTTTAATTTGAGAATTTTAAAAATCTTACGCGAAATAAAACTGCGATGAACTGGAAACTTGTGTAGCTTTAATTTTTATTACTACTGTATTTGCATGTGTACTCGAATATATTCCGTCTGTTTGATCGACATTAATACGCTCAGTTTATAATGAAGAAAAAGTTTGCTTATATTATCAAAAAGTTTAAATTCTGTAGAATAAGAAATATTTTTACTAATGATGTGACGATGCGTGATTTTCGTGAGAAGATGAAATCCCGAGCTTTCCTGCGATATTTGATTGAGTTGCTCGTCGCATTTCGCTGAAAGGAAATCTGGAATTAAGCAACAGCATCAAAGTCCTGATTAACGCCATCCTTCTTGGCAAAAGAAAATTGAGAGAGGCACACGCATGGGATATATTCAAAAGTTCTTTCGTTTTTTAAATTTTCACAATGTCTTCTTTTGGTTAATGTTCCTTAAACCACGAAAATCGTAGTTTTCTGCTGTCAAGCGTCAGAAACAAAAACGCCAATAATAAAAGAGAACTTTGGTAATTTAAAAAAACAGGTTCAAAATTTTCTCTCAGAATTCCAGCCAGGCTTCCCTCAAATTAATAAAATAACGCAAGATTCTGAAAGCTAAACAAATCATGAATAACTCAAAACATCACAAACAGAAGCACACTGCAGTATACTGTACTAACTCACCTCCCACTGAAGCATGTGTATAAAACTGGATTCAAGTGACATCTGTGTGACAGCGCAGATAATTACGGAGTGCCAGAAGCATGCAGATGTACTTTCAAGGTAGCAACAATTCATGGAACGATTCTATCTTATAAATTTCATGGATGTTCATAAAATGATAGTATGCAGTAGTTTCTAAAAAAAAAAGAGGAATTTGCGTTTATTTCGATTATGAAAGAGTTTACTGCCATTTTTGCTATTTCAGTCTGTCTAAAAATTCAGTATTTCAATACAATATGGGCATTTGAATACTGATACCTTTGTACAGTACATAGAAATGTTGGCTGTAAAAATAATATTGAAGAGAAAAAGAGAGAAGGAAGTCCCTCTGTGCTGGAGGTAATTTTTTTAATTATCTAAATGGATGATAAATTGGTGAGAGAGATGCCCAAGAACTTTTCTTACATCAATTTTAGGGTTGGAAATATCTGTTTCTTGTGATTTGGCCTGAAATGTATTTGCAATTTTATCACAAAATGTCCCTATGTAGAGTCAGTGTCCTCCTGTTGGGCCTTTTCTATTAATTTTTTATGAGAAAATAAGTGTCCCTATGTTGAATTGTCTGCAGGTCAAGGGTTCCGCACATGGGGGTCTCACAACTGTACTCTGAAATGACACTAATATTCTCAGTTTTACTGGCAGATTTTTTTTATGAGTCTGACTGGCTCTTTATTTAAAAGTTAACATTTCTTTACCCTCATGGTTGTGTCCCACAAGAGCCTTAGGTCAGCCTATAATAAGGTTGACTGAACTAAGAGTTTCTTGAAAATTGAGCTGCAAAATGCAATGATCTGTATGGAAAACCAGAAAAGTGTACTTCTATCTCCAATCAATTTCAGGTAATATTTCTAGAATAAGAGTATGCTTCTGGCTGCTAATCAGGATCAATGAGCCTTGATGGGTACTTAATTGAGAAAAAAAATAATGCAGTAACTGTACTGCAATTATTTTTTTCAAGTCTGGAGGTTATCATAGCGCGCTTAACTGACAGGGGATTATTACAACCAACAAAAGGCGCCTTGAATCGTTTTTTTTTTCTTCAGCGATTCATTATTTCAATTGTTCCACCGCAGCAACACCAGCAAGTTTATTATTCGAGCAAAAATGTTCGTCCTTCATGCTGAAAGGCATTTTTGTAGAAGAATGTGATATCATCGCTCTCAACTGCTGCGCTGCTCTTCAGCATCCACAACAACTTCAAGAAATACTGGAAAAGTTTGGATAATTCCATTTTCTCTCCTGCTGGCAAAGGAAATTCCTAGATTTCCCTGGTAACATCCTGCAGAGAAAAAATCATTTCTTGGTTTCCGCAACAGTCGCAAGCTTCATCAAGAATCTCATTTCTCTCAACGAGGATGTAATCTTAGTTTGCATATATCCCCAGGGTATTGAATGGGAAATTTGGTCAGTGTATATAAACCCCACTCCACGACTACAAATGGTACGAATTTCGATCTTGTCCTCAGAGGATCAAAGCTCCTATAAAATCCAAAAGAAATAATATACAAATCAGCGTAATTTATAATATTTCTCGTGATAGAGAAATGGCCAAGTCCGCTCTTTCTGTGGTGTTCTTGGTATCAGGACTGCTCTGCGGTAAGTCACTTCATCCATTTCACAGCTCACTCAATCATCTTTCCTTGACAAAACGTTTCAATTAATCTCAATAAGCTGTTGTTGGCGATCACGGCAAGGAACTTGAAATCATTTCCCAAGGCATGGTAGTGAGAGGAGACTCTGCCTACAACGAGGTTCATGGGAGAAAAGCGCACGAGGGAATGAATCACGTCGAAAAACACAAAATGACGTCAGATGAACAGAAGAACGAAGCTTTCCTCTTGGACCCAAGATCCGTGAAAAAAGATCACGTAGAAAATGAACCTCACAAAGAGTCTCATCAGGTCGACAACAGGCCTGAAATAGCCGCAGGAAGCGATCGCTCCAATGAAGACCCTAACCGATCTGCAGAAAACAAAGAGAAGAGGAACGAGTACCAACCAGAGCACGTTCATCATCACCAGAACCCGCATTCGAGGGAAGATCGAACAAGTGGAGAAGCAGATCGTCACGAGGGGAGACATGATCGTTCTCCTCATAAGCATCGACACGGGCGTTCTCACCACAAGAAATCAAAGAGCCTTGATGAGGAAGACAGACATGATTCCACAGAAGTAGAACCTCATGCTGATGCGGAAAAGAAGCCCGAGCATCATCACGAGCACCACAACCGAAAGCATCATCACGAGCACCACAACCGTAAGCATCATCACGAGCACCACAACCGTAAGCATCATCACGAGCACCACAACCGTAAGCATCATCACAAGCACCACAGTAACCATCACCATCGACTCAATCACCACAGTGAAGAGCATGGAATGAAGCGACACCAATCTCAAAGCTGCGAAGCTGCTAATCACTTGAGTGAGATGAACTGCCAAGCCCACCACAAGGTGTCAAGACACCACAATCGACGTCACCGCGTGAATCAACCTGTTCACATCCCGAAAAGCATGCCACATATTCAACCACATTTTGCTCGAAAACAAGTTGATTCGGATGTGGACAAGCCTAAGTTGCGTCAGAAACGGTCTCGTTTGCATCACAGACGTCCTCTGAAGCATCTTCTGAGAAAGCCCAAGGGTCCATCTAAGTCTGCTGGGCGTCCTCTTAGCAAGAAGCTTCACAAACTGCGCCATTATCATGGAAAGCGTACACGCGTAGCAGTCGCGGCTTAATTTTGTTGTGGAAAACGTTAAAATTCAAAGATGTATTCCCAATTGTCTTGCTCTTCATAACCGGAGTCAACTTTGAACGTCCATTTTTTCTTTGATTGCAAATACAGTATACAGCATGCATGCTGTTCATCACATCATTACTCTCTTATTATTTATGCAAATCACCAGAATTCTAGAATGCTGTTTGTCTCCCTTTCCACAAACGTTGCATGCTGCTCGTTATGAATATTCCCCTATTTTAATCCTGAATTCTATGAATGGTGCTGTCTGGCTTATACATAAGGATGGTCCACCATAAGTAAACATACCCAATCAAAAATTGGGTTAATTATAAAAAAAATTATGAAGGAAAACTGCAAAGAAATTAACTTTTGCATAATTTAAGAGGCTTTTAAATGCATAGCCAAAATACTACTGTATATATTTCAACAAAAGGCATGCCTGCTGTTGAAAGTAGTATTTTGGGTAAAGTACTGTATATGCCTTACATTATGCAAAAGTTAATTTCTTTCCAGTTTCATTTGACTGCTATTTTTTTTAGATACGTAATATTATAAGGAAATAAAAGTAGAATTTTCGCGGTAAACAATACATTCTAGGAATAACATACAATGAATAAATCCTGCACACTGAGATGTATATGATGGAATGAATGAGCAGTGCTGATGAGGATGATGCTGGCGAATACATGATGATGATGCTTTGTTGGAGACAGGTTGGGAAATCAACAATACACTCAAAAAGTTCAGTAGGAACAATACTACAGCATACAGTGAGCAAGAATAGTGTTCCAGCTTGTTAAAAGTTTCGTTTTAGCCTATGTTATTCGGATGAACTGCTTATATATAGTATACAGTACTGTACAATATTTCAGAAAAGTTTCAAGCAAGGTTTGTGCAAGGATTGCTGGGGTTGTTTTGGGCAAATTTGTGATAAATTTTTGAATATTACTGCATAACCGAAACTCCTCAGAAGTGATCACGAAGCATTAAGAAATTACCATGTACAGTATTATATTTCATACAGTACAGTACAGTACTGTACTTCTAATACAGTAATTTCAAAATGTTGAAGCTCTTACGGTAAACCGAAGGGCTTGCAGGAGGATTGCTCTTTGATGGAGTTGTGCACATGGCGGATTACTAGGTACCTTATTTTCATAACAACGGTCTGATGATCTTGGTAATTTTTCGGCGTGTGGAATTCAGGCGTTCCTCTTGCTTTAGTGTTGTAATTGTGACGAGGATTGTATATGTTGTGCTTCGACAGAAAATAAAATAACGGTAGTGATAATGCGCGGTCTCGAAATTATTAAGATGCTACCCGCGATTTCAGCTGCCCTGTGTTTCGTTTGCGTACAGGCTCAGGTATGGTCATATTTTCTCATGCTGGAACGTAGTTTTGAAAGACTTCAATTTGCAGATTGATGTGGAAATAACTTCGGACGATACACCGTCTCTCGGTCGACTTGTGTTCGACATCGAGCACAGCTTTGGTGGCGAGGAATACTCAGTTCGTGGCCAGGTCGTTGTTCAAAGCTTGAAGAGCAAAACTGGTTGGATTTCTCAGTCTGTGCCTCTTACTCTAGAAGAGCGAAATCGGCTGAAGAAGTTAGCTGAAAACAAGGGAGTGTACAAGGTCCGTGTGCCCACTCCAGGAAAAAATTCGGATTACGTATCAACAATTGCTCCCGCGGTGAGTTAATGTGCAGTTTTCCCCTCGTTCCAGTTCATGATAAAGCTAATTTTTATTCTCATTTTTAGTGTGGGCTTCTCGAAACAGGATTGAAGGATATCCTGATATTGACGCTTGACTCGAGTGGCAATCTTTTGGGAATTTCGGATATCGTTCCTGTGGGTTCATGCGGTGCAGCGTTCGACTGGCTTGAACCGAAAGACTTCGAATTCAATACGACTCTTGAAATACGAACTATTGAGCCGGGACCCATGTCAGTTTAGCGAATATCTGCATTTTCACTTATACTAACAAAAGTATCTTCTCTCCAGTCCCGAAACCGCGTCCTACATTCAGAAAATTGAACAAGAGAAATTGGCAAAAGAACGTGGTGAAGGGAAAGACAACCGATCTTTCTTTAGTAAATACGTGAGTAAAACTCTCGACTTTTCCTGTGTTCAAATTTTGAGGCTTTCTGTTCTTGTCTTTCTCGACTTTCTCCAGTGGATGTACATCGTGATCGGACTCGTGTTTTTGATGATGACGGGTGCGAATAACCCTGAACAGGGCGGCAGTGCTGGTAGCTGAGGATCTCGTATTACATGATTTTTATTGACATGTCTCATCGTCATCCGGTTGTTTCACATGTTGGCGATGCGTATTTGGTTTGCATCGGGAGTGATAACCGTTTTCTCGTCCAGTATCTGTATGGAGCTAGTATGTAACGGAACTGCCAGTAGGCATTGTGTTCGGGCATTGATGAACATGTTTCTATCTTCAATCTACTGCATTTAACGCGAATATAAGACACTGACAATTCTGACTTTCACCTGTATTTTTAAGCCATTAAATTGAAAAAAGTTAAAGCTAGACCGTCTAGCTTCAACTAAGACAAGCTGTCACTTTCTTGACAATCCGTCAACAACCTGATTATTTTGCAAGGGAGACAGAAAAATAACGATTTTTCAAACGAGTTTACTTTTCAAAACTCAAGAATGCATGCAAATGTTTTTTTTTACGATTTACTTCACAAGGAATGCCAAAAGTGCCTTGTCACTTTGAAGAAATGACTTTAAAAATGTTTGTTACAGCAGATGCCTGTCAACATTTACGCTTCGAGTTCTTAGTTTTTGCTTTACTGATTAAGCTTTAAACTTGCCAGTGTTTTAAATATTTCATATGATGTAACCGAATGACGAATCATTTGAATGTGTGGAAAGGTCTTGGACTATCCTCTAGATCAGCTTTTTAGTAAAGAATCCGGAACGCCGTAAATCCTAAAACATCTGCTTATTACTCTTCTGTCAGAATTGGATGCAAGCGAGTCTTATATTCCCGCAAATGCAGCAATTTATTTGTCATTGAATGTACCTTGAAACCTTTCGATGATTCTCGAACAAATAGAAATGCCAGAAGAAGTGCTGCGAAGCATTTCCCAACGCACTCCGAATGGATCTAATGAATGTGTCGTATGTGGCGAGATTTGTGCCTGCAACTCGGCGAACGTGCGTCTTCTGACTCGGACAGATGTTCGTGAATTTTTGTGGAAAGCCGGAGTCTTTGAAAAATCATCATTGGAAAACGGAAGAGTGGAATTATGTCATCGATGTCTTGCCATCGTTGTGACTGGAGACCAGTTGTTGTGGCGATATTGGGAAAAAATCGCCTTGTGTTCCAGTCTTCTTTCAGAGCGGGGAAGAAGTTCCGTGACGGAAAAGTCCCTGGACAAAAGTTCTGCAAGTTTTCAAAGCGAAGACACATTTTCTGCTGTAAAAGTTGAAGAGTTGGATTCGGAAATTCCTCAGAGTAGTTCTCGAGGTGAGTTCTCTTAATGAAATCGTGCTGTGAAGTGAAAAGCTTTTCTGTAAGCTTTTGAATTTTTTGAGGTGAGCCATTTTTTTCTCTTTTGTGCTCACGAAATTGTGTGGATTTTTCCGAGTGTTTTTGCGATAACAAGCAAGAATTTCTCGGGTTTCAGGTAGAATTTTCGTGAAATACTCTTGATTTTCTTGTACTGTATAGTGTTTAGCCCTAGAAAGACGCTTCTTGCTCATTTGCAGTGTCTCTCGCGTTTCACGCAGATTTTGAATTACATCAAACGAGTGACTCTTTCACTACATATAAATTACTTGAGCGCCGTTTGTGTATAACTTAATTATGATGACATGGTTGCTGTTTAAGGTCTTCAGGGCATCAAGCCGGATATTCAAGAACGATGGTCGATCCGGAATCCGTGCATGAGAAATCCTCTGCCATATGAATGTATCGGTATTGCAAAGAAGCAATCCTACAGAATCGAAAACTTCACTTTTCTCAAGGAACGTGCATTCAAAGGCCAATCCAATCTGATTCACGTGCGCTGTGATCATCACCGTGATAAAAAAGTGAAATGTGGAGTTCGCGGTGTGATAAACCTACACGAGCAAGTTTTCTTCTACAGCTCTACCTGCTCTGCTGCTGATCACAATCATGGGAAAGACAAATCTGAACCGAAAAGTGAACTTGATGGTGTTTCGCGCAGTGCTGGTGATTCAGAAGATGTCATTCGCCACGATAAGAAGATTAGTGGAACCCCGGAGTACTTTTGTGATAGCTGCGAACGGAGTTTCGAATCGCAGCGAAACTTGACTCTTCATCGCGAGGAGCATGTGATGAAGTGCCTCGATCGAGTGTCCTGTATAAGTTGCTGCGAAGTTCTTCGTCTTGAGGAGCTGAATGAGCACGTTGAAACGTCTCATGGTGGTCTTCTTGCGCGCTCCAACACCGAGAGAGTCAAGCTGGGGATGAAGCTGATGGATTGTCATATTTGCAATTTTCGCACTGTGAGTTCGAAGGTTCTTCAGTCTCACAAAGTGCAAAAACACCGGGGAGACAGTGAATCGAGCTCTGGTGAAGGTGTGTGTCCTGAAGCTTCGGCAAATCTCAAGTGTTCGAATGACCTGGTTTGCTCAATTTGCGGATTGAGATTTTCCCAGTTGACCACGTATGTATCGAATGCGTTTGAAGTTAACGGTTTTAAAATTAAAATTAAGAAAAATTCGATATGTTGCAGATTTGAAGAGCACGTTTCAAATTGCGCTGCGAGTCGGTCGCCAGAAAAATGTCCTGTTAAAGATGAACGCCTACCTGGTTTTGAAAGCGTGAGTTTGGAGATCGTTTTGATTACTGCATCAGACTTAAATCTTTAAATTGTTCGTATTGTGTTCCTGTTGCAGCTGTCACTTTCATTCGAATCTAGTGTGAAAACGGAAAGTTTTTTTGAAGCCGAATTGATGCATGATTTTAATATTGGAGAGAAGAACGTCGACGATATGGCGTCGAATCTTATGGAGGTTGATCCTTTGGAAGAGGATTTGCTGAGTAGTGCGGGTGACGTGCATCAAGCCAATGTTTCTGTGAGTTTCATCGCTAATTCTTTTACGTGGTACATTTCTTTCCGTATTAGTGGAGTCCCGTGTTTTTTGTTTTGGAATATTCGCGGGAAGTATGAATGTACAAGTGTGAGAGATGGCGTCTTCTGAGGATTTGATTTACTCTGGCAAATTTCTGAAATACTCTACGTGTGGTGGTCTTGCGTGGTATTGGTTATGAAACTTGGAATAATGTTTTCAAGTACGAGGAATTCTCGAAAGTCCTGCAAATTGTCCAAAACATTGATTCCGCGCATCAACGCAATGGGCGTTGATTATTATTTTTTCTACAAATTCTGATGCCTCTCACTTTTGAAATGCAATACTGTATTGCCTTTATTCAGTCACGAAAAATGGGGTTCGCGTCTTTCTTGGGTATAGGATTTCATCAAGATTTTGGGCTGAAAAACCATGGGGCCTGTCCTACTTGAGGACGTGTGTAGTCAAGTGTATAATTATGGTTTACTAATTATTATTATTATTCAGGCGGATTCTCTCTACGTCAAAATTAAATTTAGATGGAATTTTTTTGTAGAGAACCCCTATAACATGGAAAGATAACCCTATGGGACCAAAAAATTGTTGTATAAAAAATTGTTCTAGATAGAATCCACCTGTATACTAATACTGTAATCTTGATTTCTCCGAATATTCATATAATACTACTGTGTTTTCTAAAATTCTGTGTATCCTATATTTACAGGGGAAGCCTGCGAAACGCATCCCTGCTGTGAAGAAGCAACGTCGAGGCCGACGGGAAAAGATCCACTACGTTTGCGAACTCTGCGGACACGCGTCTCTAAAATTCGCTTGTCTCTACCGTCATCACCTGAAAGCCCACGCTGTGCCCAACGGATTCGAATGCAATGCCTGCGGTCGCTCCTTCCCCACGTCGTCACAACTCCAGACCCACACTGAACGTCATTTGCTCGACGTGCGTGACAAAATCGTTTGCATTACGTGTCGCAACGTTGTGTCCTTTTCCGGCCTGAGTCACCACGTGCGATACAAGCACAAGGGACGGATCGGACGGACTGAGGCGGAGCGCGAGAAAATCGGTGTGAGGTTTAGAAAGTGCGCGTTGTGTTTGTTCAAGACGACTGTCGAGGGTGTGTTTGAAACGCACGTGCTGCAAGCTCATCGGAATCAGAGTGCGTATCCCTGCGAAGACTGCGAGGAGAGTTTTGCGAATGCGGCGACGTTGGATTTGCATAGGAATGTTGTGCACTTGAGGGAGCGGCCTCGGGTGTGTGGCTTTTGCGGCGAGGAATTCTACGACCGGAGGAAGTTAGTCTTCACTCATATCTTCTCACACGAGCCGAAAGATCTTGAACTTGAAAAGATACAGTGTAGAAATGTATTTTTTTAGAAGTTGTCGAAATGCCGCGTGATTTTTCCGCTATCATGGGAAGGAATTTTGACTTGTCCTCTCCTTGTTCGAAGTCGTGGAAAGTAAAGGTAGACTTTCTCTGGAACAAATTTCAAGGGACCAGAAAAAAGTTCGTCAGAGAGAACTCCTGTAACATAGAAAGAGAACCAGATAGAGGGCCAACATTTTTTCTTCACGGAGAAAATCTTTACAGAGAGAGTCCACCTGTATATTATTTTTTTTGACGGATTATTCAGAGGTTCTGATGTTATAGAAAAGAAAGTACAGTAGTTGAAATGTATTTTGAGTGTGAAGGATTATAAAAATGTCATCTAGAATCTCGTACTGAATTTCAATATCCGAATGAGTTAGTTTTTGAGTCGGGACCTAAGGAATCCCTGTTGGATCGAAAAACAACGTTCAAATCACTCCTCGGTTTATAGTGTTTTCTGTGGACTTTATGCTGTAGCTGCCTTGATTTTAGAACTATTTGCTCACCAGCTGAAAAATCATGGCTTCAATACCCAACGTCTTATTTGGGATACGATTGCTGAATCTAGAACAGTGTCATCCTGATAATTTTTAAATTAGTCGGTGAAGTCAAGTTCAAGAGACCAGCAAAAAAATTGACTTCAGGAGGTTTCGAGTTGGGGAAACAAATATTCTCGCCGGAGATGAAGAATCAAAGGAAATTTAAATTGAAGATTGATTGAACGTTTAACTACTGAATAAATGAGTTGACGTGGTTTTGATCTCGATCAAATATCGTGGGTCAATAATTGGTTGTAAATTGTACGAAAGACTAATGGGATTTCACCTACTTCTTGTAGGTTCGATTCTCATATGGAAAGGCATAAGGAATTGGGAGGACGAAAACTATGTCCAGAATGCGGGAAGGTTTTGTGTGGCCGGGCTCTTAAGGAACATTTGGCCGCCGCTCATGGACGAGGTGTGAGTGTTCATTTGATATATTTTGTTGTTCGCCGGTTTTTAGATCGATTTTTGGGCCGAAAATGAATCCAAGTCGTAACATCGTTCTCCATGAATACAGTAATCTTTGGAATCATGGTATGTTCTATGCTCTTGAATTGTTTTGTTGCCTGAAGCCCCAGAATTGAACATTTTTGGGTGATTAAGATTCGATTTTCAAATTTATCATTGCAGTGGCAAAGGCCATAAATGCGTAGATGAAAATTGATCACATTTTTGAAGGAATGCCTTATTTTAGACCCATTATGTGCTGAACGTGAGAAGAATTTCATAATTTCATCGAACCAACTTATTTTGATTTGGATAACGTTCTTCTGCAGTACAGTACTGTATTCCTTTTCCGTTAATCGCGGTGGTTTGAATTGAATCAGATATATTTTAAATTGTATTCGGGTTTATTTTATGAATTTCATATTTCCTGCGACGTTTAACGATGAATCTGTCGAAATTCACACCCCAGACCTGTTTTTTTTTCTTCAGTCTCAGGTATGCTGCAAAATATGCTCCTCCGAATTCCCCACTTACTACGCCATGCGGACTCACATGGCCAAAGAACACGGTGCCCCGAAACTGAAGAAGAAGGTTCCCAAAGTCTACCTGTGTGGTGTTTGCGGGAAAACTTGTTCCCCGAAGAGCATTTACCTCGAACACATGAAAGTGGAGCACGACGTGACGCTTCCGGGATTGAAGGAATTCAAGTGCGAATTTTGCTTCAAATTGTTCTATTCTGGGGAGCGTTATCGGGCGCATCAAAAGGGCGCCCATGGGTTGAAACGGCTGTCTCAGGTCAAATGTGGTTTGATTTGTTCCTTGTGCTCGTTGTCGTTTCCGGAAAAGGTCGTGTTTCGTGATCACTTGAGAGACGAGCACATGGTTTTCGTGAGCTCGAGAAAAATTGATCCGTATGTCAAGGATCCGGAAATTATTGCCTAATTTTTTTGAGTTTCTGAAGAAACTCGTTTGGTCACGTGATGGATTGGTCGAAAGGATTTTTGAAAATTCAGTGATATTTTCGCACTTGTTTCATGTCCCGACTAAAACTGCCTCTACTTAACGCGAAGGGCCTTAAACGGTCTTTTAGAACATGTCATAAAGATGGCATGAATGCTCTTATAGTCTGCGAAAAATCTAATTTTACGTGCCGATTATCTACGGTCTAGTACTGCGAGTTTTTCCAGAAATGTGGTACCGTTGCCTAATGAAAATCTCACTGATCGATTTATAATCGATTTCTTCATGGAGGTTAGGAGGATTTTTTTTTTTCTCCCCGTAAATTTTTGAGGGTTCTCTTGTTATTGATTGAAAATCACATTTCGCTAGAAACAAAATTGAACATTGATTTTATTTGAGGATGTGTTCGTTAATCATCTTTGATATTTTTACCCACCGTTTGTAGCGTACGGTTCTAGGAGGGAAACTGAATCTAACATTCTCTTGTAAATTTTATTATCGATCCAAGAGATTACAAATTCGAATTTATTCCAAAATCTACAGCGTCTCATATTCGTGTAAATATGGTACTTGTGATTTGTGAAGGTACGTAATTTGCTGTGTTGTGTGTTGAGAAAGTGTACGAGTGCATAGAATGAATCCGAATTTTTTTTTCAGGCAAACATGGACTTCGAGCAGAAGTTTTCGCTGTGTCTGATTTGCCGGTCGCCGGCCATGGACGGGAATTCTGTGTTCCAAGTGAAACTGCAAAGCTGTGAGAATGTGTCGCAGTTTTTGTGTAAAAACGAAATTTTTCGCCGGGAAACCATCGAAACGTCCGCGTCGGGCATGTGCGATCGGTGCTTGGCCTTGGTGTTGACTGGTGACCGGTTGATGCTCTGCGTTCAGCGGAATCTCAAGCAGTTCAAGGATTTGATCATGGGCAATGTTGAGCATAAACCTCCTGAAGTGAAGGTTAGTGCATCAACATTGTCTTCCCTGTCTCTGGATCAATCGCACGATGTTTGCATGGGATTTTTTGTTTTTTCCGGTGCGAAAACCTCCGTGATTTTTGATAATTTTATTAAATGGTTTCTGACTAAAGTACACTTTTTGAATTTCAAATGGAAAAGATTCGTTTCTGGGGCTGTGAATGTTTCAGATTCAATTATCATCCCCCGGATCAGGATGTTCTTATGCATTCATGACTTCTCTATTCTTGACTCACATTCTGATGTGCAGTTGAAGAGTCAGTACTCTTATATGCTTAAAATTGTCTGTGAAACTCTTCGTAGTTGTGCATCAAAATTTGAGATACTTTTGCAAAGATGGCTAAAAAAGATATTTTCGAATTACGAAATAATCGAGTTAATTTTAATCGATTTTTAGGAAAACCAGAGCCAAATCACAGAAGGAACATGAAAACAGTTTTAAAATGCGAGGAATTAGCCGAATTGAATATGGAAATGCATTTATGTCTAGCGGTGACATCTGCGAATAGCTTGTCTAAACAATGGAGGAAAATTGATGTACAGTATTACACTCCGTGTGAATTACTGGAGATCATTTGCGCTCACTTCGATGACGATATTTCGCGCGGATAATAGATGTCTCACTGCTCCATTAGAGTATCGTCGTGTTCTCGTCTAGTGACAACAATTTGTGAAGACATCTTGAATTGCATTCAAGACTTGGAATATTTCTACCAAGATTTTTTTCTTCTGGTGTTCAGGTGAAAGTTTCGGAAGAGTATGTCGTGCCGACGAAGGTGCGGCGTTTGGACGACGACCTGTCGCTGGAAAACGATTTCCCACCTGCCGTCGATGACTTCTGCGGCGACGATGACGACGACGACGACGACTACAAGCCGAACAAACCCGCAACTGCTCGAAATTCCACAAGTAAAATGCCTTCCAAGAACGAGTTAGCTTTCGGAAGCCTCAGGTTGGTCTTTGTCGGACAAGCCTTCTTTGGCCTAACCGTTCTTACCAGCGCACGGCTGGGCTGAACGCCCCTTCCGTTCGCCATGTGACACCTCTTGTTCTAACAAACGACTGTGTACACGGTGGACGGATTCCCGTTTCAGTATCCGAGGATCGGCAAAGATGATCACGACTTGTTGCACGTTCGGTGTTTGTTTCGACGAGTGACTGGGGTGGAGTGTCCCGTCGGCGGAGTGATCAACTTGAGGGAGAAGTTGTTTTATTATCATCAGATCTACTCGGCTGTGAATCATTGTCACGTGGAGAAGGAGGTGCCTGCGAATGCTGTGTTCATGACCTCTGCAGTGAGTTATTTACAATATTTATTTTCTTTTTTGGGTCATCAGTGAGGCCCCCGACATGCGGACGCCCCGAAAGGCGTATGATTCGACTTGGGGGGACACTCGAAAGAAATTCTCCCCAACATCCGGAGAACGTCTCTTATACGGATACTTGGCCACTAATTTTAAACAAATTATAAAATGTCACTTTTCAACATTTTGACGTCCCTCGAACAAATCGAGCTTTGTATATTCACAAATATCGTTTATAATCCAAAACATAAAAACAGGCTGACTTTGAAATTCCTTCAGAGTTATTCCGTCATCTTTGAACAGTATAGGAAAACTTCTGCTTGTGCATTAAAAATGAAATATTTCAGGCATTTGAAGCCTTTTTACTGATATTGAAGACCATTTTCAGGACACTGCATAATAGAAGTGAAAATTTTCTTATTTAAACGAAAGTTTTCCACTCATTTTACAGTATGCTGAAAATTTGTCATGATGGTTTCAAAATTAGCATTTTGTTTCTCTTGAGTACAGTAAGTTTCTCGCATCTGGTGAAATTTTTGGGTGATCATAAGAGAACATGACGACCACCTGAGAGAGACCTTGCTTTAAATTCCCCGGTTTTTTTAGCAAAACATCTCTTAGGGATACCCACCTTTTGGGACACACTGGCTTGTTTTTAAGAAATACGTCTTTTTTATGGTTGAATACAAAATTGTCGTAGAGAGTCCACCTCTATCTGTATTTACTCGAGCGCCTTCTTTTTGAACTAATTTTGAAGCTTCTTTGCTTGTCAAACTTGATTCCAACAAGGAATTTTCAATCAATTTCAACAGACAATTTTGAAGTGGAGACAATAGAAATTTACGTTCAGTTTGACTCCAGTTCAAGTAAAATTTGAATTTATAATTTATTTTATTCTCAAAATATTGCAATTTTCTGTCCCTTAAAATGGGATGCATGTCTTATTCGGAAGTGCGTTTTTATCCAAATTTTAGGTAAAAAAATGCAGGTGTGCGTTTTACTTGAGGATATGCAATATTTGAGTGAACGTGGACAGTGAATCGAAAAAAAGCAAAAAAATTCAATTTCATTTTGAATTTACAACGTCAGAAATATTCTACCAAGTGCATCATTGGAACAACCCTTGTGTTTTACCACATGACGAAATTTGTATATTTTCTATTTGTTTTTGTGTTGCAGAGCGAATCTGTGAGAAGAAGCCTGCCCGACAGGAATGCTCAGAAAGACTTCATGCGTTGTCACTTACCCACCGGAAAGAAGGGCTACAAGTGCGAACTCTGTGATTACAAGATCCGTCAATTCAAGTCCCTCGTCCTTCACACAACCTCCGTTCACCTCGTTCCAAACGGATAGTTCACGAAGCTTACGCCTGAGTCAATGCGCCGAGTAGGGCTGATAAGGGTGGTGTACCTTGAGGTGGCTGACCTATTAACGCTGTTCCACAGCACGTAGTGCACAGCGTGCTGCTACTGCTTCCTCGCGTTGCACGAGCACGTGAAGCTCAAGCATTGCGGGAAAATCGGGAGGACGAAGGACGAGAGATTAGCCCTGGGGATCAAGGCGAGGCAGTGTTTGCGGTGTAGTTTTGTTGGCATGACTGAGACTGCTTTCGGGATTCATGCGGCGTTGGAGCATAGGGAAGAGCAGGTGATCAAGTGCGACGAGTGCGATAAAGAGTTTAAGACGCAGAGAACGCTCAGGGATCATGAGAATAGTGTGCATGGGAAGAAGACGTATGAGTGTGCCGAGTGTGGATTGGTCAACTCTTCCCGAACTGCGTGAGTGTTCATTTGAATTTTCTTTTTTTCCATTTCTGGATGTGCTTTGGTTATTGAATTTCATTCGTTCCAAAATTCATCAAAAATCGGAAAGGCGTTGATTGATATAAAGTTGGAGAGAATTGGTTTCCCGACCCGCCCGAAAAGTGCATCAGTCGAGTAATGTGAAGCTAATCTCTCCTATTTCCACGGAAATTCCTGCTTAAATTATGAAGTAAATGCCTTATACGCGAAAAATTCTTCAAATAACACCAGGAACATTCGAAAAGAAAGGAAAATATTATTTTCATGACCAGAAATATCGAAGAAATTTTTTATTTGAAGGAAGGATACCTGGGGTCACGTTCCCTTCGGGAACTTCGTCTTTTCTTTTCAAAGAACATTCAGATTTTCCATTGTGAAAGAAACATTTTGTGGATACTTGTTGACGTATTGATTTCGCGATGCTTTTCCATAGTTACGAAAGGCATTTGGAGACGCATAAACCGATGAAAGGCATGAAGCTTTGTCCTCAGTGTGGCAAGGCATTGCGAGCTGGTTCATTACTTGGACACATGATTGTTTTCCACAACCACCCGGTAATATTTTCAATTTTCTAATTTTTTTTTC